TACATCTCCCCAATGAGAAGGATTTGTTGGGCAGTGTAAAGCACAGAATCAATAATTCACAGACTCGGGGCTGTTTCCAAGTTGACCACTATTACTACTTAAAATGAGAAATACTTCTATTCCAAATGTTTAAAACATTAGTATCTAAGAAAAAAAACAAATGTGAGAAATGACTTTTCAACAATGCCAGGTAAGTGGTGTTTTATTCCGATAATCATCATACATGCAAAGAGGGGTAAGGTCTGTTAGTGTAGTAGAAGGAATGCTTATATGGAGGTGGTTAGGTTGGATCGAAGGGGAAGAATGTCTTCACTTTTCACCACTCTACCAGCATTGGCTTTTGAGTTTGAGTGCGATTCAAGTCTAATTCTGTAGTCTGGTGGGTTGACAAGCCTCTTTTTTATAAACTTTTCTCTGGTCTTGGCTCTGGCTCATCCAGGACATTGAATGCCTACTTTCATCTGTCGTCTTGTCACTAAAGTGACAAACTGTCATCATTTTGGCTATACAAAGTGTAATATACCCAGAAGGGTAGTTTAAAAGAAATTTAAAACCTATAAATGACCACGTATGGTTCTGTTAGCTGTTGATGTATCCTTACCAAATAAGCTTTTATAGCCTTTGTTTCTTCACTAATACCATTTTCAGAGCATTAGTTAGCATGCTAATACTATATTATAGATCCTAGTAGATTGAGGATGTTCTAGAAAAGTTTAGATGGCTTTGGGGGAGAGACTATTGAATAATAATACTTTGGGATGCAGTTCTATAGGTTTAGGTTCTCCCAGTGTGTTGGAGGGTTGTTGTTTTTTTCCATTAAATATACTTTTATTGATTTCAGAGAGGAAGGGAAAAGGAAGGAGGGTTAGAAACATCAGTGATGTGAGAGAATCATTGATCGGCTGCCTCCTGCACACCCCACACTGGGAATCAAGCCCACAACCTGGGCATGTGCCCTGACCCGGGACGTTTAATCACTGAGCCACACTAGCCAGGTGTGTTGGAGGGGTTTTAATTGTCCTTGACTTTGCTTATGCTGCTCGGATTGATTTCTTCTGCCTTGGCAAACCCATGCCATAGTTTTATCTACTCTTGTCTATGGAGTACTCCTGCACACCCCACACTGGGAATCAAGCCCACAACCTGGGCATGTGCCCTGACCCGGGACGTTTAATCACTGAGCCACACTAGCCAGGTGTGTTGGAGGGGTTTTAATTGTCCTTGACTTTGCTTATGCTGCTCGGATTGATTTCTTCTGCCTTGGCAAACCCATGCCATAGTTTTATCTACTCTTGTCTATGGACAAGAGTAGATAAAACTATCCCTCAGTTCTTGCTCTTTCATTACCACCCTCCCTCTGCCCCCTCTGCTGTACAAAACATTTGTGGCCATGACCTCATTTGAACTCCCGGTACTGAAGATGTGTAGGCAAGTACTTAATGAAACATACTGGTTTTCCAATCTGTACCATCACCAAAGACTCTTTAGCAAATCCCTTAAGCTAGTAGTTCAGACATTGATCATTTCTGTACACAGGTATTAATTACTAATTTATATTGATCGTTTGGTTTTTTTTTGAAAAATGCATTTCAAGTTAATAGTTTGATCCAATTTAATCATTTTTGGAATGTCAGTGCACAATAATTACTTGGTTTCCGCTAAATCATTTGTCCAAAATGTATATGGGCCTGTTTTCTTGTGGCTTTCTAAACAGTAATTTATGAAGGGAGATGTTGAACCATACAGGGCTTCCATGTCACTGACTTTGGAAGAGAAGTTTAGTCATGTTAATGATGTCCTGTAGATAAAGATGTGGTATTAAATTGGAAACTTAAGTGTTAGTTTCAGAAAAGCAGATGCAGACTAATGGGGGTTTCCTACATTATTAATCTTAATGTAATTTAGCTTTTATCTTGGACAAATCCTATATAATAAAAGCCTAATATGCTAAGTGTCCAACTGTTCATTCGACCTTTTGACCAGTCACTATGAAGGGCACTGACCACAAGGGGGTAGATGCTCCGACCCGAAGGTTAGCTTGCTGCTTGGGTCCAGCTGATAGGGACTGGGCAAGATGGGGCCAGACACGCCCTGGAATCCTCCCACAATCCCTCCCTGGCCGATCATGCATTGGTGGGGTCCCTCAGCCTGGCCTGCGCCCTTTGGCAATCTGGGACCCCTCGGGGGATGTCTGCAGGCCAGGCCAAGGGACTCCACTGGCCTGCACCAGACCTCTAGTGGGACTATAACAGTCATTGACCTAGATACATGACACTGAATGTTATGTTTTTAGGACTCAAACATGAATATCTATGGTTTTGAAACCATCTATTTACTAAATGAAAATGTACTTTTCTGATGGCTAGCCACCTGTACAATTCTGTCCCATTATGAAGGTAATCAAGGAAGTTGCTTAGACAGCATAGAAGTGTGTAAGAATTTCATCCAGGCAATAGAAACCAGATTATCCTTAACCCAGACGAGAAAAAGAGGCCTCCAACTCTGCAGTCAGGACCAGTAGTTACCATTTACTTTTCCTTTGTTGCAAGATATAATGCTTGTGTGTACCTTAAACATTTTTGTTTTAACTTAAAAAAACTTAAATTCATTTGCCAGTCTTGATAACAGGGTGAAAGCCTTTTTTGTTGTTGTTCATCCTCACCCAAGGATATTTTTCCATTGATTTTTAGAGAGAGTGGAAAGGAGGGGGAGAGAAACATCGACTGGTTGCCTTCCGTGCCCGTAGGATGGAGCCTGCAACCAAAGTATGTGCCCTTGACCGAAATTGAACCTGGGACCCTTCAGTCCGCAGGCCGATGCTCTCTCCACTGAACCAAACCGGCGAGGGCCAGGGCCAAAGCCTTTGAATACCATAGGTTCTTGCTCGATTTGCTTATTCTGGCTCTTTAATTCCAATTTTGATATCTAAGCCCTATTTGCTAATACTTAAGAAAGCTTAGCCTGGCCGGTGTGGCTCAGTGGTTGAGCGTTGACTTATGAACCAGGAGGTCACAGTTTGATTCCTGGTCTGGGTACATGCCTGATTTCAGCTCGATCCCCAGTGGGAGAGTGTGCAGGAGGCAGCTAATCAATGATTTGTTCTCATCATTGATGTTTCTATCTCTCCCTTTCCCTTTCTCTATGAAATTTTTTTTTTTTTTAATGAAAGCTTACATTTAAGACATTTCATTTTATCTCACCCAGATTGCTGTATTTGGACGTGGTGGTACCCTCAATGTCAGCCATTAGTATTTTCTATTTTAGCTAAGGTTTTGTCAACCATTGTGTCAATTTACAGTGCTTTCTATGGATTTGCCACTGTTCTGTCAGTTATTTACTTGAAGGAATGATGCTGGTGGGAGCAATAGAGTCCTACCAGATCAAGAATGAGAGAAACAATGTTCAGACCCCTTCAGCATTAATTGATCACTGTTCTGCAGTGATGGTGTGTCCATAGGCAAAAGTGTCTGCTTTTTTCAAATTGAAGTTAATGTGCCTGAATCAGTATTACCATATCTTCTACTTAACATTTTAGAGGTTTTAGGGGAAAGCTGGGAGTTGCCGAACTAATGTCAGCCTGGAACTTTCCAGTTGGGGCACGTTGAGTTCCTGGCAACTTACTCAAGTAGGAGGTGAATATTGTGCGGTCTCTGAACTCTTCAGGCCATCAGTTCCTCTGGCAGGAGGGAGGGAGGGAGCTGGGCAGAGAAAACGACTGGCATGCATGTCAAAAAATCAGGACCCACACAGGGGATTAAACTTTGCTCTAAATTGATTTATCTGGTGAGCACTGTTTATATTTATTTGAAGGCAATATACTAAGGTAACATTTTCAGGTCAGTTAAGACAGCTGTTATCTTAATAAACGTCATTTGGTTATTTATCATAGACTACTTTTTTTTTTTTTCTTTTTTTTACTTGGGTGAATTTCAACCTAACCTAGCTCACAAATTTTTCATTTATAAGATGGATATGTAATACTTGTTTCAGGTACTACATACCTGAAAATTTAAAAAATAGTGAGCCTCTAGGATACTCTGATAATAGCTGTTGTGCATTTTTTAAGTGTTTGCACATTTCAGGCTTAATGATGTTCTTGATTGGGGTCCGCAGACTTTCCCTGTAAAGGGCCAGATAATTATTTTCAGCTTTGTGGGCCATATAATCTCTGTCACTACTACTCAACTCAAGTTGTAGCACAAAAACATTCACAGACAATATGTAAAAAATGAATGACTGGATTCTCATAAGATTTTATTTATGAACATTGAAATTTGAATTTCATATAATTTAAAAATATAAAAATCATTTGTAGTTCACAGACTGTACAAAAACAGGCAGTAGGCCATACCTTGACAACTCTTTGCAAGATCATAAATTAAAGCTGCCTGTTATCAAATGGAGCAACTTTTGCTAATTTATATAGATTTAGAATATGAAGGGAGCCTCTTTCTGTCTAATCTTAAGCATAAAGGTAATAAGAATTCTTTATGTACCCAGCGTTGGCTTTACATGAATTTCCCTATTCCTTTCTCACAGCATCTGTTATATTCTGAATATTCTTACATTTTGTAGATGAAAGAACAGGGTGACCTGCCTATGGTTACATATCCTTACATTTGGAAAAATAATAAGATAATGTAACTGATGAATAATGGATCTGACCACAAACCTCAGGGTGTACAGCTCTGGAGCTAAAAAACGAAGTCTCTTGCTTTTATCCTTTGTTAATATCTAAAAATTGGAGAGTTTTACTAACTGAATCTGGCAGCTTACATGATTTAATTAGGTAAGAATTATTTAGTGGTGAGATCATGTTATTGTTGAATTCTGAATTCACAGAGATGGTGTTTACAAAGGCTGTCAACTGCTTTTTTGTACTATAATGTGTTCTCCTAATAATTTTAATGAAATTTAAAAGTAGGTTAGTCTAGAAGAGAAGTACAATCTTGTAAAGGATTTAGAATGTTGCTTATATATGGTTATGGTGGTTCTTTCAGGTGCTGTTGGTGAGCAGCAGTCGGTACCCAGACCAATGGATTGTTCCAGGAGGAGGAATGGAGCCCGAGGAGGAGCCTGGTGGTGCTGCCGTGAGGGAGGTTTATGAAGAGGTGAGGTGAACAGTAGTTTGCATTTTCTCTTTTCACACAGACTGTATTTTGGGGTTTTACAGACATCTTTCTGGTTCACAAACAAGGGACTTTGTTACATACACTGAGGAGAAGTCAAGAAGGCAGGTCACATAGGTGTGTTTTTTTTGTTGCCTAGTTTAACATTTTAAAGCATGTGACTATATCTAGCATTTTGCTAAGCAGATATTTTTTCTACCTGGTAAAATAAAGCTAACATCAATGTGGAACATGGAATTGCATAACAATAAGTCTGATCAGTGATCGATATATAACATAATGGCCTTGCCCAGAGCAAAGTTAGTATTACACTGAGCAAAAACATACAGAGATGTTAATCATGTGCTATGATTCTTTTTCAAGTAAATAAGAAACAAATTTGCTTTTATTTTACTTGTTTTGTCTGAAAGTTCAATAAAATGGCACAACGCACGCACAAAAGTGTACATGGCCTGCTTGTCTTCTTACACGTGATATACACCTTGCTTTTACTCACAAGCAAAACAGCATAGTAAGTGCCACAAAAAGTTATTGAACAGCAGTTAAGAGTATAAATGGGAAAATAATGCTAAAGCTCTCATTGGGCCTTGGTGTGTAGTTGGAGGTTTCATAGAGATGGGTCTTGAAGGATGAGTGGCTTCCTAAGGGAAGAACACATTTGAGATAGAGAAGACAAGCATGTACCAGTCTATTAGTTCACAGTATGGATTTGAATGGGGGGCACACTGACATTCCAATCACTCTTTACTTGGTAACTGTAATGAGGACTCTGCCTATAGAAGGAATTGTACCTCCTGAGGTGTGTGACTAAAGGAAGATTGGCCTAAATTTAAGAAGAAGGGGGAGGAGTATTTATCAGTTCACAGAGAAAAGTCTGTTTTCATTCAGGAAATTTGTCCCAAATTTGTAGGGAGTTAATTTTTGGTCAGTTCTTGCCATTTCTTATTGAATAAATGGCAATAAATCTGAACAACAGGAAGTTGCATGTAGAGCAAATGAAGTCAATGTGTTATAGCAAACCATGGGTCGTGAATTTCAGCACATCAAAAAAATCACAGAAGCATGCTTAGAATGGAAGGGGCTAATGTGTTTAGATTTACAAGTTGAAATAGAAAGTAATTTTCATATCAATTTTGTTATGAAAAGGTAAAATTTGTACATTTCATCTTTTTTCAATAGGCTGGAGTCAAAGGGAAATTGGGCAGGCTCCTGGGCATATTTGAGGTGAGTTACAAAAGTAATCCTTGGGCCGTGGCTGGTGTGGCTCAGTTGGTTGGAATGTCCTCTCGTGCACCAAAAGGTGGAGGGTTTGATTCCCAGTCAGGGGACATACCCAGATTGTGGATTTGATCCCTGCCTGGTTGGGGTACGTGTGGGAAGGAACCAATCAATGTTTCTCTCTCACATCTCTCTCTCTCTCTCTCTCTCTCTCTCTCTAACAAAAAAAAATAATCCTTGGTTTGCTGATAAGAGAATTAATAATTTCTTCCTTTAAAACTATCAGTAGGGAAGTAAGTCATAAGAATTAGGAGGGAGGGAAGTAAAAACTACTTAACTTGCCTGTACCATTAGTTATATACAGCATATTATGACAATACAGTGGAGTTGATAGAGAAACTTTTATCTCTTATGAAGAACTAGAGGTCCGGTGCATGAAAATTTATGCACTGGAGGGAGGTTCCCTCAGTCTGGGAGCCCTCGGGCGGGAGGCGACGCCCCCATCACACCTCTGCTGCTGCCACTGCTGGCAGCGCAAGCCTTGGGCAGCCCTGGGTGGCTGGGCAGCCACCATCCGAGGCTTGCCTGTGCCTTGGGCTGGCCCTGGGGGGCTGAGAGGACTGGGGGACTCTGGAGGCAGGCGCGCGGAGCAGTCGGGCCCGCCTGCCGCCCCAGTGGGGCTGAGGGGAGATGAGGGCTGGGCAGTCAATTAGCATATTCTCCTTATTAGCTGTGGGCACCGCCATCTGTGAGGGTGGGACAGTCAGCATATTTCATCCTTATTGGCTGTGGGTGCTGCCATCTTTTGTGATGGCATGAGGGTCAATTAGCATATTCCCTCTTTATTAGATAGGGTGTCTGGAAATGTACCCTTACCATCAGCATATAACATTAGATGACATACAAAATGACTATACTTAAAGGGCTATGTGAAAATACAAAGCTCAGATACATAGAATAGTTGTGCTAAAAGCATAGAATTCTCATCTGTATAATCCTTTATTACTGAATGCAGAATGGAATTTATGGGGAGGGAATTTGGAAGTGGTAGATAGTCTATGGAAAGTAGGGGAAAATGTGGTCAAGTCATGAGGCCTAAGCTATTCTCAAATAGATACTCACCCAAGATTCAAGCCTAGATACATGGTATACCAGATACAGTGTGACCTTTTCCCCCAAGATATTATTTAAGGGTAGCTTAGTCCTTCTGATAGAACCATAAAATTTTTATTTTTAAGACTTTTTAAAGGAATTTAGAAAAAATTCTGATTGTACAGTACTTGGTAGAATTAATTCCCAGAATATGGTAATTGTTGAGTAAAGTTCCATGTTGACCAGTGTCACCCCAATCAATTTAATAACAGAAAAAGGAGTAAAGTTCTTAAGATAATGTTCAAACTTTCCCAGAATTCAGCACTTGCTTTGCCCAGTTAAATAGCACTATCTTCTAAACTAAAAAACATACTGAGTTTTCTATAATTCTGAATAGCCATGATATAAAGAGCACATTTGTCAGTATGCTGACAAGATTTTTAAAGAAAACTTCTCACATTATGTTTCATTTTATTTTTATTTTTTTGTTAATCCTCACCTGAGGATATTTTTCTATTGATTTTTAGAGAGAGTAGAAAGGAAAGGGAGAGACAGAGAGAAACATTGATGTGAGAGAGACACGTGGATTTGGTTGCCTCCTGCACGTACCCCAACCAAGGCCAGGAACCCTGCAACCAAGGTAACATGTCCCTGACCCAAATTGAACCCAGGACCCTTCAGCCTGCAGGCTGATATTCTATCCACTGAACCAAACTGGCTAGGGTGAAAACCTCTCACATTATAAATAAATGTTACATAACATGGGAAGGTAATGGTATTAAATGCTTTTACTGTTTTTATAGAGTACAATTTATATTTTATAGAATTTGGACAGAAAATGGTAATCAATATACTTTCCCCTTAGGAAATATAACAAAAGTAGAATGGCCCTACTCATTCATCCTGGTGATTTCAATGCATTTGTGATCATAGCATAATAAAGATATTGATTTGCCAGGCACAGAGATAACGAGTTCTTCAAAATAAGGAACAATAATGTTTGTGAGAGATGCCTCTACTTTATTGCTGTTCTTATTCCTTTCCAAAGACAAAATACATTGTTTGAGTGGATTACTCAGGTTATTTGTGGTAGAAAAAATTAGGACAATTATCTATAGTCCTAGACTATACCAAACAAGGCTAATTTTAGTTGAGATGAATGTGAGCCCCTTTGTCTTAAGGCCAACTTGTGTTTAATTTTGTCTAGAGACAAGACTAGGTGGCAGTTTTAATATGGGTAAAGTTGAGGTTGAATATAGGACTAAAAATAATGTTCCATGATTGGGTTGACCCAGGTATTCTCAACCTTGGCTGTGCATAGTTCATCTGGAAGCTTTTAAATAATCAAAACCTAGGCCTTATCTCAAACTAACTGAATTGGTGTCTCAAAAAACCATTTGCCCTGGGTGATGTAATGGGTGACCAAGATTGAGAAGCCCTAGTCTAGGTTAGTAGAGCTGTGCTCTTGTGTGTGTCTTGTAAACCTCTGAGGGGAATGCTCTGAACTAACTGGGGATACTGCTCTACAAGTTGTGAGGGAAGCAGTTTTCCATGGTATGGAAAGGCTATCAGTATTAGCCCCACGGAATAGGACCTTAAAAAAGGATAGGAATGTAGTTCTTTTAATTACTTACCTGATGGACAGAAATCAGAAAGCTAAAAGTTTAGTATTGGGAGCTAATTTCACCACTTTAGTATTTTCTCTTACATAAACTCACTTCTGTGCTGGATTATACAACTGAGTATACTTGCCCATGTTGGTAAATAGGCTATGCTAATCAGCAGTGTGCCACAACTGATTTTTTCCCTTAAAAATATGTACATGACTAGTTCCTATAGATTAAAATGCTTTTCTTTTTACATTCAAGCAGAACCAAGACCGAAAGCACAGAACATATGTCTATGTTCTTACTGTCACTGAAATATTAGAAGATTGGGAAGATTCTGTTAATATAGGTAAGTTTCCTTTTCCTTTTGCTATCGGAATTCTCTTAATTCAAGTACTGTATGCATGCCCTAGCTGGTTTGGCTCGGTGGATAGAGCGTGGGCCTGCGGACTGAAAGGTCCCAGGTTCGATTCCAGTCAAGTGAATATGCCTGGGTTGCGGGCTCTATCCCCAGTAGGGGCACGCAGAAGGCAGCCAATCAATGATTCTGTCTCATCATTGATATCTATATCTATCTATCTATCTCCCCCCCCCCTTTCCTCTCTGAAATCAACAAAAATATATATTTTAAAAAATACTGCATACTTGTATCCAATTTTCATCTTAAATTATTTTTGGTTACCTTTCTTTTAGAGAAGGGAAGATCAATATACATCTCCATGTTTGAATTAATTGAAAATTCTTCAACATACTGTTGTCTAAGCCATTCAAAAAAAATAGTCATTTGTGAAGAGTGAGGAATATTATTAACAGCGTATGGCTTACTTTTTAAACTTGACTTTATTGTATAGTAATCAATGTCATCACTGTTTTCTAGGAAGGAAGAGAGAGTGGTTCAAAGTAGAAGATGCCATCAAAGTTCTCCAATGTCATAAGCCTGTACATGCAGAGTATCTGGAAAAACTAAAGCTGGGTTGTTCTCCATCCAATGGAAATTCCACAGTCCCTTCTCTTCCAGATAATAACACCTTGTTTGTAACTGCTGCACAGACCTCTGGCTTGCCATCTAGTATAAGATAGTATGGGAGGTCATCTCCCACCATGTGCAATCTCATGGGAGAGGCTTCTTTATTTTCCTTGGCAAACATCTGAATGACACTTGCAAACTGTCTGAATTTGCCATATAAGGTTTTCAAACAATTTGCATGTTTTTCAGATGCTTTTGAATTTTTTTTAATAGTGTAAAATATTTTAATAAGCCAAAGCCATGTGGAGTTTTTTTTTAGATGCCTTAACTGTGCCCCTGACCCTCCCACCCTCCATGTTATTTTGGTTGTCTCTCTTTTTTTTTCCTTCAGTTTTTCGTCCATTTGACGTCAGTCTGTGGTTTCTGTCAGATCAACTTACTCGTACCCCAATTTGTTTTCTCATTCACAGCATTAATGTATTCAACAAATCCTTCTGTTGTGGGAATTTGCAAAAATAATTGATATTAACGGAAAACTTTTTCATAGTATCACAATTTTAATTCAAAAATTTCATATTTGGAATATTTCTGTATGGCCCAATATTTTGACAAAGGACTTAATTTGCTATTTTCAGGAATTTGCCAACTCATTGGTTTCAATTTTTACAACTGGTATTATGTCACTAACATAATTCCCCTATTGCTCAATAGCCCTTTAACACAAAATTTTAACTCTATAGAGTTGGCAATTTTTAGGGAGCTATTTAATGTAAGCAAAACACATGTAGCAAATACATCATCTTATCATGAAATCTGGATTCATGGCATTTGAGTTAGCACACCCAGTTGCCAATTCCCTTTATCCATAATCTCTTTACACCAAATATCTGAGAACCAAATTTCCCTCAATGTAAATTGCTTTTTAAAAATATATTCTCAGTTTTTCAATTTAGTGACACCTCTTCAAACTTGTTGGTCACTGATAACCAACCATACCTGGGTTTGGAATCAATAACCTCAAATGCCAGTCAGTGATGACGGCTTCACAATTAAAATGGCCTTCTTGCTGTTCAGCTGTTACAGACTTAGATTGTTAGGGTACCTTTAGAATGTCTAATCTTTTATAGGTTGTCAATAGGTACTATTTATCACATGACTTACTTACTTTCGGGGCACTGAAACATACCAGAACTAAGAATTATTTTGTCTTATATTTGTCTTTATATGTATTAAAATCAAGAATCCTAGCTAAAATATATAGGTACCTTTTCTGAAACTCCTGTATTTCCCCCAAACAGGCCAGGAATAAGGTGGGAGGGAAAACCTTTCAGTAAGATGTGGGGTGGGAGATGAAGGCAAGATCATTCTGTATGTAGACATTAGCCTTTTGTAAATATTGTAACTGATGAGCATAAAGTAGAAAATAAGTAGTTATACATTTGTCCTACAAATTATTAACCTTAAAAACATAATTGCTGCTAAAAATAGAGTGCTGTTACACTTGAGGAAAATTGGTGCCACTTTATGAGATCTTGTGCCATAAATGCAGATGAACTAGATATAATATAAACATTAGTTCACAAATTAATGCTGTCAAAGGAATGAGTAATTAACCAGTGACACTTCTTTCTAAATTATGTGGTGTGGTCAAACACGATCATCCAGAATTTTTGTTTTTCTTTGTACAGAGGTTATGTATTCTGGGTGTTTAAATTCCACAGATTGACGCTTTCTATCAATCTTCAATGGACTAAGATTTTTGTTCTCAGTAATCTCTGAAGTTTCTTTAAATTACATACTTAACACAGCAGAGAAACTGGATTGTTTTTGTATATAAGACTGTCCACCTGAAATGCTATCACAGTGCTTGCGGGGAGGGGAGGTGGGTATCTTGTACATGACATTCTGAGAGTTAACAATGCATGAAATTATTTTATAAACTCTTAGACTATGTATTTGACCTGTAAAATATGTACAGTATTGATGTCAGCCATCTCTTAAAAGTGAGCATATAAATATTGTGTAATTTTCTTTGGTCAGAAACATTTGGACGAAGTAGTGCCACTCGAGTCAGGATTTCTTCAGTGCCATTTAGCAAACTAACTGTCTTTAGTCTATGCAACTAGCAGAAATTTGAATGATGCAACAGAAGATTTACAGTCATCACACTTTAAATTTCATATGAGGGGTTCTTCACTATTCTTCTAGAACCCAGTCTAGCAAAATTAGAGAAGGGCCTTAAGGATTTATTTCTGTTTAGAGAAAAAGCCTACATTTTCAGGCTCAACAGTTGAATCTACTATGGGTAACAAAGTATCTACTATCTCAACCCTTTAAAGATTATTACAGTGTTGGGATTGTCATTTATGCTTTCTGTGGGATAGTTGGATAAAATTGGACAGCTAAATTTTTCAGTCCCATGTGCCTCCTAATTAACAAGTTTGTAAAGTGACTTGCAGACACAAAGTAGCAACTAGCCTGCATGTTGTTGGGTTTTTGTAAACAGGTGAAATTTTCCAACCAGACACTTGCCATTCAGTTTTCTGGTGTTGATCACACAGTTGTATAAAGAAGCAAAACTGAAGGGGGGTGATTGTTGTATACACTTGAATTGCTTTGCATGGTCTCATTGAGATAATTGGTGTAAGAATCTTGACTTTTTTTATATTTGGAAACATCAAATAAAAATGGAAATAAAGTAACTTTTTTTTTTTAATATTAAGACCAAGAAAAAACTTGTCTTGCATTCCACAGTAACATTACTCTTCTCCCACTGATGGTCATATATGTTATCTCAGTAAAAGTACATTTATACACTTCCCTTTATGATTAACTGGGTTATAAAAGGAACTGGTCACCAATAAGATGTTGCCATTACTCTCCCAATGGATATTTCCCATCTTCTTAGACAGTAGCCTAATGGTGCATGGCGGCTATAGTTGTCTTATAGCACTGTTCCCCTACCCTAATCGGGTTTTGCTATAATTCAATGATTTTCAAGAGCTCTTGATATATTCTGTATTTTGCTGTAGGGTGTTTCATTTTAATCATTTTACTGTTTAAATGGGTAGCTGGCTACAGGTACCCTGCCAGCCATAAGACCAACTTTAGAGTCCTTACATAAATGTTCTACACAAATCTTATTTAAATTGTAGGAAAGAAGCCTGGCCAGTGTAGCTAAGTGGTTAAGCATCAACCCATGAGCCAGGTCAAGGTTACAGTTCGATTCCTGGTCAGGGCACATGCCCAGATTATGGGCTTGATCCCCAGCCGATCAAGGATTCTCATTTATGTTTCTATCATTTTCTCCCTCTCCCTCTCAAAAATTTTTAAAAAATAGTAGGCAAAGAGAAAGTTTGGCATTTTCCAGTATTATTTTCACATTGAAATACAAGAATTCTCTACAGGTCTCTGTAAGCAGAATTCTGTAGACAAAAGTGACAGGGCTAAACAGTTGATTTACTAAAGTATAATTTTTAATGAGTTGGTTATAGCAGGAATATTTCTGTAGTTGGTTTTGTCTGTTTCCAACCAACACTTTCATAAATTCTTAACCCATACAATAATCAGGATCTGCTTTTAAAAGATTTACATGCACCATCTTCAAAAGTAGTATTTTATTTAAAAATGATTCCCCCCACCAAATACTTTGCTGTACAGTTCCATATAAAATGTTGCTATTTGGTGGAAAAGTGATTTTACCCTTGGTGCTGCTTTGCTTTCCTATTTTCAATACCTTCCTGACTAGTGCCATTGGCTAAGTTATAGGAGTAAGATGAGAAGGCCCTTTTGCCAGAAACTAGTCTCAAATTCCTCTATTTGATGTAATTTCAACTAAATGTGACCCCAAAAATTACTCTTCCCAATATGTGGATTACTACCCTCTGGACATCACATTTCCTTGTTCTTATTGAATGCCAGTGCCAGGCACATATGTATATAAGTATTGTAAATCTTATTTTCTCAACTTTTACTCAAATTAGTGAAATAAAAAGAGTATTTTGCTCTCAATGTGTATCAACAAACTTAAACATACCTTTTGATGAATTAACTACACAAGATGGCCAAAAATGTTAAAGATTTATGTACTAAGATAGGCAACTAAAATGGTAAGGCATGAAAATAAAATGCCCAGGCCTGCCTAACGGGGTAATGGTTAGCTAGTAACATGTCTATATAATGGACTATTTTAGACATAAAATGTAACCCTTTCACCCAACAATTCCATTTCTGGGAGACTTCAAGTTGCACAATCAAAATGTATCAAAGATGTATATTGCAGGATTTATTAAATTCATCAATTTGAATTGCAAATGGGGGTGTTAAGTTATGGTCATCTAGTCAATAGATATCACTACTGAATTACACTGCCACAGGTGGAGGTCCTTTTAGTAACTGATTTTAAAAAACACTACACAGCATTACCTGTTAAAGCTCACTTTTTAAAAAGGAGCCTGTACATATTTCAGATTTTATTTTTAAATGAAATGTTGAAACTTTCTATGTGACAATGTTCGATAATCTTACATGAAAAAAATGGGTTTAATGACCTGATCTATACATTTATCAAAAAATATAATCAAGGGGAAAGAAGAAACTTATACAAATGTTTCATCTAATTGTTATTGGAGTAACAGTAATGTATCACTTTTTAAAAGGGGAAGTATTGCCGAGACCGGTTTGGCTCAGTGGATAGAGCATCGGCCTGCGGACTGAAGGGTCCCAGGTTCGATTCCGGTCAAGGGCATGTACCTGGGTTGCGGGCACATCCCCAGTGGGAGATGTGCAGGAGGCAGCTGATCGATGTTTCTAACTATCTATCTCTCTCCCTTTCTCTCTGTAAAAAAATCAATAAAATATATTTTAAAAATAAATAAATAAAATAAAAGGGGAAGTATTGACACATTTGCTTCTAGCACTATAGCAGTGACTTATCAATCACTGCCAAGGAGGAAGGAAGCTGAACCGATAGGCCAAACCTAGCCCCAACTTGTAACAGCCCAGAAACGTAGAATGTTAACATAAAGTGATTTAAAAGAATACTTTGTGGCATGTAAAAATTAAAGTTTTATCAGAGTGCAGAAGCCTCTGTTTAAAATTGTCTATGGATATTTTCTCACTACAATAGCAGAGCTGAGTATGTTACTGTACCAGCGGTTCTCAACCTGTGGGTCGCGACCCCTTTGGCGGTCGAACGACCCTTTCACAGGGGTCGCCTAAGACCATCCTGCATAGCAGATATTTACATTACGATTCATAACAGCAACATTACAGTTATGAAATAAGCAACAAAAATAATTATATGGTTGGGTCACAACATGAGGAACTGTATTTAAAGGGCCAGAAGGTTGAGAACCACTGCGTGTAGACAGATCCATGGCCTGCAAAGCCCAAAATACTTAGCTTTAGAAGGGAAAAGGAGGTTGCAAGAATGTGGCCCTTGGTTACCCAGTCCTGTTTCCTGCCAAAACTGAAGGAAAACGGCACAAGTTCAAATTTAGTGCAACCAATCTAACGTGCCTAAGCTGCTTTTGACTGGTCTAAGTCTTAAGTAGTCTACTTTGTAAACTTGCTAGGTTAGGTTATAATGAAATTTAAGTTATTGGGATTTACTAACCTAGATAATTGAACTAATTTCACCCACCACGATTTCAAAAAGAATTGTGGTGGGTGAAAATGGTTCAGGAGTGTGTAAAAAGTAAATCTTATTCTTGGTAAGAACATGAGGTTATCAAATCTTCTAATTTCTAAAACATGTTTTGACGCAATGATTAGAGCTCCTTAATGAGCACCATAAAATGTACTTTTATGTTAAATGTTAATGTTTTATGTTTAATGTTAAAGCTCCTTAATGAGCACCATAAAATGTACTTTTACAGATAATAGAATTTCAGTCGCTCTGCCAACTGGAGACCATTAGCAAGGTCTAAATATTCAGGCAATTACTATATGCTTCTACAACCAGAAACTGAAATAATTCTATCAAATCAGTAGAGACTCCGCTTGGTAGCAAGTCTACATTCACACACTTGAAGTATCTCAGGCCCATATGAAATGAAAGCAGCTGAAGGGTGACAAAGGTGAAATTGGGGGAAAGGGGGAGGACCCAAACTCTTCATGTTGAACTCTACACTTAACAGGAAAAACTTTAGTCCAACTCCTAGTTTTGCAGCCAATGGGAACTTGCCCAATTTGTAACAGCTGCAAGCAAAGCCAACTCTCGGAACCAATCCTCCCAAATTCCAACCTCAATGATAAAATGGAAATTAATGCAGGGGTATAATTAAGAAAACAAAGTATCACCAGTCTTTATATTCTTTCAAGTTATTACATTCAATATGTTTTGCTTTTGTGATCAAGTCTTTTAAAAAATAAACCCCTGATTTAATTCCTTAAACTAAGCAGCACGCCAAATAGCTAAATGAAATGCTGCCCCAGGCCCCAAAATACATTATTTCAATGAATTATTACATTTTCTTAGACTGATGAATTAGCTGTTCTATAAATCATGGTATTTGGGAGGAGGGGGTAGCTTTTCTAGAAAAGACTATATTTAAACTGTTTGCTACTGTAACAAAAATGGATGTGGCTATAATAGCCAAAAGATTCCTGGGCTATCAAATCCTATATAATAAAGAGCTAATATGCTAATTAGACTGAACAGCAGAACAACCGTCCGAACGACCTTCCGGACAAAGCTGGGGCAGCGAAGGCCCGAAGCTGCAGCGGCTGCGAGGGCCAAGCCTCTTGCACAAATTTCATGCATCGGGCCTCTAGTAGAAATATAAAGCCAATCCCTATCATTCCCATGACATCATTTAGTTCCATTTAGCAAGAATTGTGTTCATAATGTCTTGTAGAATACCAGTTTTCCTTCCCCCTACACTCTCCTTAAACAGTACTAAACCATGGAACCACCTGTGCTTTTTGTATCGATTTGTATTTAATCTCGGCCTAGAGCAGGGTTTAAGTTCTGTATCAGACAAAGATCTTATTAGGCTGCCTCAGAGAACTATGGAAGCAAATCACAGCAAAGTAGACTACAACAAAATTTAAAAATCAAGTAACACAAAGCTATATCAACACCTCAGAGTTTGGGCAGAGTTGACTCTCAAGAAGCCACTTATCAATATACCAGAGGCCCGGTGCATGAAATTTGGGGGGGGGGGGGGGGGGGGGTCTCAGCCCAGCCTGCACCCTCTCCAATCCAGGACCCCTCGGGCCTAAACCATCACTCCAACATCCCTCTCGCAATCCGGGACCACTGGCTCCTAACCGTTCACCTGCCTACCTGCCTGATCGCCCCTAACCTCCTCTGCCTGCCTGCCTGCCTGATTGCCCCTAACCACCTCTGCCTGCCAGCCTGATCGCCCCTAACCACCTCTGCCTCGCCCCCCCGCCACCGTGGCTTTATCTGGAAGGAGGACCGGAAGACCAGAAGATGTCTGGTCGACCTGGTCTAATTAGCATATTACCCTTTTATTAGTATAGATGCAGATTCTCCTCCTTGCTCCCAGGACTTTGCACATGCTATTCGCCCTGCCTGGAGGTGTTCATGTGGCTGGACTCCAGAAGAACAGCCTTCCCAAGTACTATTTCCCCACTCCAAGACAGTTGCAACTATTTATCCATTGTCCTCCCTCATTAGATTAAAAAGGCCACAAGGGAAAGAAAGGGCCTAATCATCCCTAACAAGTAGTCTGGTCTTGAGCACACATTAAA